CATCACCTCGTGACTGGTCACAGTATAGAGACACGAAGCTGCCTCAGATGTCATGGACCAGGCAAAAAGGGGATCGCGAAGTCCGGGGGAGTTTCTGCAAGACCGCTGATGAGAATCTCTGGCGGTTGGAGGAGGTGGATTCGATCTCTGGTGAACGCATTTGGTCAGGTTTGATGTCCGTGTACGTCGATGACATCCTGCTGACAGGTGAAGAGGGGAGCATTTCAGCTGCTTTGGATGCTCTGCGAGCCACGTGGGCCACATCCAGCATCGAATGGGCTTCCAGCACAAATCCAGTTCACTTTTGTGGCTTTGAGATTGCCCCTGATGTTGATGGAGATGGGTACCACATCGCTCAGAATAAGTATGAGCAAGAAATCCTAGCCAGATGGCAAGTCACTCGTGCAGCTGCCTTCCCAAACTTCAAGGTCAGTGAGGCCGATGGAGAACAGCAGCCTGACATCGATCGCAACCAGATCAAGGAAGCACAAGCCTTGGCCGGATCACTTCTCTGGTTGTCAACAAGATCAAGACCAGATTTGGCCTACGGCGTCGCAGCTTTGAGCAGGCTTGTCACCAGAAACCCTGGCAAGGCGATTGAAATTGGCCAGGAACTCCTGGCTTACGTGAAGCGCAAACCTGGAGATCTTCACTACCCCAGGTACATGCACAATCCATGGGGAGCCAGAAGCCAACTCAAAGTTCAGCGCCACGAAAAGCTGCTTGAAGTGTTGCTTGAAGTGTTTGCTGATATAGCTTATGGCACAGGCAACGGTCACAAGAGCATGCAAGGCCTGGTACTATGCTTTGCTGGTGCACCGGTGGCTTGGCAGAGTTCCACCCAACCTTTCGTATGTCACAGCACCGCAGAAGCAGAGCTGGTTTCCTATTGCGAGGCCTTGAATGCTGGAAGAGCCACAGAGGCTTTGTTGTGTGCCATGTGGGGGGAGCAGCTCGTGGGCAACACTTTTGAAAGAGTGATCTATGGTGACAATGCTGCCGCAATAGGGTTAGCCCATGGAAACTCCGCCACCTCTTGGCGGACGAGGCATCTGAGGGTCCGTTCCAATATCCTCAGAGAAGCTCTGGAGGGACAAAGCCTGTTTCCTGGTGGCCCTTGGAAGCTCATCCACTTGAAGGGCACGGAGCTCGTGGCAGACGGCATGACCAAGCCGCTCGTGGGTCAAAGCTTCACTGGATTCCAGCAGGACTTGGGCTTGCGAAGTGAAGTTCAAGTGAAGAGGATGATGGGTGGAGGACAGCCGCTTCAACCACAGCCTCAAGAACACCAAGTGGCTCTTCGGGCCTTGTTGGCCGGTGGTTTGCTAGTGCAAGCCGCAGAGGCGCATGGTGGTGCCGGCTCTGACGAGATCTTCGGCAACCTCTGGCTGTGCGGCCTAGTGCTGATAGTGATAGGGGCAATCTGGGTTGCGAGGACGGTTTGCACTTCGGTGCATTGTTGCCTCCGTCGATTGCAATTGCTGTCCAGCAAGCTGCACGTTTCAGGGGATGAGCTGGAGTTTGAGGAAGGGGTCATAACCACACCATTGCCCTCAAGGCGACCAAGATCGAGGAGCTCTACTACAAGGAAGAAAGGGGTTGGTGAAGCTTCACCAACAGAAGACGAGGCTGACAATAGCCCCAGCAGTGAAGAAGAAACCACCTTGGAAGCTCAAACCAAGAGTGGAGAAAGGGGTTTGAGATTGAGGAGCTCTATGGCCAGAACTATGGGGCAGAAGAAAGGTGGTGGGTCCAGCTCAAGTCGACCGCTGGATTTGCCAAGTGAGCGTGTGATCCAAGCAGCTTGTGCCGCTGCTGATGAGGCCGGGAAAGCCGCCGAGAGCGCTGAGATAGCAGCGCATATAGCAGCGCATGCAGCTGAACAAGCCGCCGAGCAGGCGATCGTGGCTGGACATGTCGCCGAGAAGGCGATGGTGGCATCCGAGCGCTTGCACCGCGCGGTGGTTCAGACCAGCCACCATGGAGGTCGGAAGAGGTCACCATCCCCGACCAATCCGTGGAACAAATTCCAGAAAGCGCATTCTGGAAAGGGCTGGTCCATCGAAAAGATGAGGGCCGAATACTACAAGGCGAAAAGCCTTGCAACAAAGCCTTGAGCCTCCTTTTGGACTTTTCCATGTCCACCAGTCTGTCAGAGCGACAGAGGGGGAGTCTGTGAATAGAGGTGTGAACACCTGAAGGCTTTTGTTCTCAAGTGAAGGAAAAAGGCCCGCTTGTGATCCTTTCAAGCTGGGAATCGCATGAATGAGGTAATGGAACATGAGCTGGATCGAGCTGGGTAAATTCTCCATTGTTCATGTTGTGCTCATTGCCTAAGCTGGTAGGGATTTATTGCAAAAAGGCAGAGCCTTGGAGCAACCGTTTGGTGTTTATATCTTTTTGTTTTGGGCGTCCGCACCAGACTCATCTTCCGTCTGACCAGGATGCTGATGGCCAACGAGGAGGCCTCAAGACTCAACGAATTGAACAAGTTGCACTCACTTGGCACCTACCAGTAGCTGTGGTCAAGAAGTTGCTGAAGACTTGAGAGATCTTGAGAGCCAATGTGTCGTTCCACTTTGAGTTTGGTCTTCACCCGGGATTTGAAACCAACGCCTCCTTGCTCGTGCCATGTCCTCTGTCGGGTCCAAACCAGGGAAAACGCTGACATGTGCGCTGCTCCGAAGCAACTTTCCCATGGCTTCCCCACCACATGCGCCACAACAGCCACCCACCGCTGCCGCACACGTCCTGGCTGTGGCACGTGCAAAAAAGGACAATTGTTTCTAATTGTTTCTGCAGTTTTAACATTTTTTTGTCCATAATGATGCTTGGTAGGCAGATTTTGCTTGAGCAAATGCTGCTCAATAATGGACCATGCCGGGATGTCCGTAGAGACCCCAATTTTCGAAGAAAAATACCTGAGCATCAGTCGGCTGGTGCGGAGTTGGCATAATATGCATGTGTGGCATCCAGTGGTTTCCATGCATCAACAAAGTGAAGAGAGGCCATTTAACAGCTTCACTAGGAGAGCAGGCTTATCACATGCAGCTCGCAAATTAAACAAAAGCCTCCACCCTGCTAGTTCCAAACTGCTTCGCGACTCATGGACTGAGGGCCCTGCTGGCGCAATCTCTGCCAGTAAGCAGGCAATGCCCAATGCCTTCATCGGCTCGGTCGGGCGAAGGATTGGAAGAAACATCTTGCTTCGGTCGCTCGGGCGCAGGTGGGAAATCCAAACATTCCAAAAACTCTCTGTATGGTTCCATCGGCTGCTACCACCTCCTACCCAAAAGAAACATCCCGACCACCTCTTCTGCGGTCAAGTCTATGTCTCGGCCCAGAAGCCGACAATGGATGCAAACCTGCCATTGGGCTATGAACACGTCTGACGCAGAAACAATTGATGCAAATACTGAGTGTTCCATGCATTTACAGTAAGTGAGCAGCACGGAATTCGGAATTCCCCTTGTGACTAGAACCGCCTTGGACCCTTAGGCATACCAGCTGGTGCTGCAAAGTTGGCTAATAAATGGAAAAAGAAGAACACGGTATAAATGCAGGCGCAGCTACGAACATACGTCGTTGATGGTTTTAATCCTGCACAATCACACGTCGTTCACTTCTTCGACCGAGTCCGGTGTCACCGATAAGTCTCGGGAGAAGGATGGGCCAGGCAAACCAGGCCATGTTTCCAGATCTTGGAGGTTTCGAATTGGTTCTGCTGTAGCACCTGGCTTTGCTCACTAGCTGGGCCAGAATCATCTGCTGTATAACTGTATAACTCACTCAGAGGAACAAAGGCCGGCAGCATTTAGACTAAAAGAATTCGGCGTAGCGTGGCTTTTTATGAAAGAGCAAAACAAACAGTCCAAAAGGCAACAATTCCTGGAATAACCTTGTTCCACACCTTCACCTATGCAGCTTCCCATGGAAATTGCCTACAATGACTCCTACAATGTCACATTACGCATTCGCTGCACGGGGACATGAAAACGTCGAAAGTCCCGCCATTGGCACAGTCTGCTCTGCCCAGCACCAGAGTGTCAAGCCAGCGCCCGTCAGCGCTGCCTCGGGTCAGCCCGCTCTGAAGGTCCAAACTGTCCAATCCTCCTTTCTGGCATCATTTCAACCCACATGTTTTGGGTCTCGTGATCTACCATGAGTTTGAGTGTGGTGCAACATGGCGGCAACAAAAAATATTAGGACACCTTTGTAGTGGGGATCCAGGTTATCTGTTCATACCTCAGCTCAGTAAGTAGCCAATGTATGTATGTGTTGTTTGTTAATCTTACCCAATAAGTATATGTTTGAACCTAGCGCCAAACCTAGGACCTAGCACCCTGCGTTTTGCTAGCGCGACAAGGTAGCATCCCCAAGTAAAACAACAGAATACAGTGCCAAGCGGTGGCCAAGCTGTTTCTGAACCTGTGGGAACCTGGTAACCTTCCTTACTGAATACATACTACCGGGTTTGTTTTTGAACTCAAATGAGAATTTGCACCATCGAATCGAATTGCTGGATATTGCTGGAATCCTCTGACCTCTGCACAGCATTTGGAAACTTTTTCGTCTTGGACGCCAAGGCCCAGGCTGCCAAGATCGATGTGGCCACTTCTGCGTGGCTCCGCATCATCCGTCTGAGCCTTCACTTGTGAGAACGTGGTACGAAGTACTAAGAATGACCTTCCGAGGGCCAAGCAAAGAGCGCAGCAAGCAAATGATGCCAAGGCAAGCTGATATCTTCAGCAAGTACCTTGGACACGTTTCTGTGACATGCTACCGAATGCTGTCGATGTGTTCTGATGGTGGAACCTTCATGAACCTTCAATAATCAGACCATAAACATCCATAAACCGCATTGTAACAACTCTTCCATGTCCTGGGAATGTCTTATATATATATATGAATTGCATACTTATGCAGCTATAACCCACATCCGTTCGCTGCCAGGCACCCAACAAGGTGGCGCCACATGTGGCGCATGTCTCGCCTTTTTGTTCTGCAAGACCTCGTCCTCTAGACTCTAGACTCTAGACCTCCCTCAACGCTGCACGTGCCAGGGGCGAGTGCACCCAGGAGTTCAAGTCTGCCACCCGCGCGTGCAGGGAGGGCTGCCGAGACCAGTAGGAGACCGGCAGCACTGAGGTGAGATACTCCGCCTGCTTCACCAGCTCCTCTGTCCCCAGCAACGAGGCCATGGCCACGTCTTGTGGTGCATTGGCCGCCATGATCATGGCCCGGGTGGCTGCGTCCAAGTCGCCGGCCGCCAGGAAACCCACACGATCAAAGGAGAAGATTTCGGCCCGAGACTTGGCAGCCCAAAGGCCCACGCCCCATGTGCCCAGCCGCAGGGCCCGCTTGAGCTGTCGCTCCTCCCGAGCGGACAACGAGAACACCAAGGCCGCCAAGCGAGGCACCGCGGAGCCGACGGCGGCCGTACCTAAGGCCGAGAGCCCGCCTGGGGCGCGCAAACGCACGCAAAGGGCGGTGGCGGAGTCAAAGCCCGTGGCCATAGGTCGGGTTTGTGGCATCCAAAGGTGGTCAAGGTCCAAGTCTGACCTGATGCATTCAGCAAGTGAGCAACTTGCTTTGATTGATTTTGTTCTACGAAGCTGAACAATTGAACATGAGAAACATGAGACTGCACAAAAAAGAAAAGTTTAGACTCCTTACCCAGAGACAATCCCGGCCAGGTTCCTGATCTCAAACCTCGATACACGTCACAGGCATTTGCGATGCCATCCACCCAGCGTCTTAGGAGCATCCACTGCTTGAAGCTGCGCTTCGGCATGGGTGGCTCTTTGGGCTGCAGGCCTATCACATGTAGAGGGAACAGAATCACATCACGTAGGAAGTGTTGAAGAATCCATGGGCTCAGAAGCTCCGAATGGTGTAGCCAAGCCCGACCCATCTCCCTTCCCAACAAGAAGCGGAGCTCCGAGTCCGAAAGCTGTGAGACCAGTGTGTCTGTGGCCATCAGCACCGTGCGGCGCCCAAATCGGGATGGCAGGATACTCACACGCATCTGCGCACTGCGGATCAGCAGCGTTTCCGGGCAGCTCTTTTGGCCCATCTGCTGGCGGAAGAGTTGCTTGAGAGTCTGGCAACTTTGCTGAGAGGCCTGACTAAGGACCTCAGGGTCCCAGGGTGAGGTGAACTTGAGCAACACCACCCTGAGCCCTGCAACCCTAGACTAAAGCTGGGACATCCCTCTCGCCTGGCTCATGTCTGCTGCCCTGCCATGTCTCATGGTCTGCTCTGCTGCATTGATGTGAGCTTGTAAGCGAAAGTGGAACCGCACCGGCCATAGGAATACTGAACCTCACACGGCGGGCAAGGTTAGCTGGCAGCTGATGTTGTGAGTGTGGAAAATGCTCAGGCATCTATACATACATGAATAATTAACTATTCAGGAAGTACATTATATAACTATATACATATGTATACATATATATATATATACTATAGTAATTAGTAATAAGCATGGAACGGCACAAACTCCACAAACCGCAGCTGGAAGGTGAGAACACGAGCTGACGCCATCTGATGCCCCTCCCCCCGCCATGCCAGCGGGCGGCTCACAAAGCTCGCGAGCGGCTCCATCAGAACACGAATGGGAAGAAACAGCAAGTCGCCTCCACGATCCACAGGATGTTGGACCTGTAGCATCGGCTCCCACGCTCCCGAGCACAGGAGCCCTGTGCACTGCCCTGTGCTAATGAAACCGCAAAAAAAAGAAGTTGTGGAGCTGGTCGAAGCAGGTATATATAACTCGTTCTGGAGGTGCCAGTGATTTTGCCCAAGTGAATCTAATTACAGTAGTTTCCAGTTTCTGAAACACGCGCAAAACAACCGAGCCCCTCCTCTTCCAAAGCTATAAAGCAGCTCAATGGTGAAGCCATCAACAGCCTTCAGCATGCAAGGTCAAAAAAGTGTTGCAAAGCACCCAGCATTGTCGCTGTCTTCACCCTTCAAACCAGGAACCCAGTTGCAAATGCGGTACCACATCTTTGTTGAAACGTATAAACAGCCGTGAATCTCAATGAACCTCGCGCGTGTATGGGATGATGCCAAGACCCTGGCAGAAAGCAAAGGACTATGCAGCTCAATGCTCGGCTGTGACGTCCTTCCGGCAAAGGAAACTCAATACCAAACCGAAAACTGAACATGCCCAACGGGAAGCTCCTGATCTCCCTGTGTGCGCATCACCATGCTCAAGTCTGGCTGAGGCTGTCATTCTGCAACAAGAATCGAGCCGGTCCAAATTGCAAACGGCTGTTCCATGCTGTGCAGCTCAAGCTTGTGGAATAAGGTTGGGAAATTGGTGCGTTGCCTAAGGTGTGATGTTTGAAGTCTCAAGGACTTGATCTTGAGTCAGCATCTTGACGTACCCTCGGAGCTAGCGGGCTGGACCAATCAAACACAGTTCAAGAAAATATGTCGGTGTAGAATATCAGATTGAGCCAGGATGTCTGCATTGCTGAGACATGGCCTGAAAACCCTCTACTCTACTCCATGAAGCGTTTTGATCAATGTTGGCACGACACATGACACAACAGAGCGCACCAAACATGCGCTCAAACGACCAAGTCTTTAGCTTCGGGCCACTTCTCAACCGCCGATGTCCAGTCCTTCTCCTCCCTCAGAAGCAAATCTAACTTTTGCAAAGTCTCCATTCATGACAGGCGCGAACGGATCATTGAAGCATCTCGAAGCCGTTTCTTGCTTCATCTCTTGCACAAAGTCAGCACCGAACCTGGCTGGCTCAGTACCTGGCGCTGGCCCAGTGCCCAACTAATCATATTCAGACTGAAGCGACTCGACGCTAAAGCACCGCCAAAACCATTTGGAAATGATGGCACTGGGTTTTAAGAACTGGTGCCCTGATCATGGGGTATGAATCCTTGATCTGTTCAAAGCCATGAAAAGCCAGAACGACACCACGACACAAAACCATTCAACCATCTTGAAGTGATGCACCGTGAAGGCTTTGGACCGCTGCGATCTCTGCTTTCGAGGCCGAACATCTAACAACTGTGAGTTTCAAAAAACTATGGCAACAGGAACTTCTACCAACCTGCACATCACCATAATATCTGCGGAAAGAAAAGGGTAAGCTCACAATGATGTGCTAATCCCCTTCAATGATGTATTTATTCTCAGCGCCTCATGGACCAATCGCCTCCACTCTTTTGAGCTCTTCATCTAGCTTTGGTTTCTATGCACTCATAGGGTGGCGAGTTCGGAGTTGGACCCTCCATGCAGTGCTCCAACACATGTTTTGGAGCCCAAAAATGAGCCAATATGAGAGGTCCATCACCTGCAACTCTCTCAGGTTATGGGTGAAACTGCTCTGCTAGTGCAGAGCTTAGAAGACCTGATCTGATTTCACAGGCCTGGCTAAGGGCTCCTATTGCCACTACTTCTCAGGTTTTCCTGCACAAGATCCCCAGCAGTGCGGCTTCCGGCGTTTGGAAGCCATCAAGCCAAGCGGATTCTGTGACAAAGTTTGTCCAACTCCAACTCATTGAATGCAATCAATCAATTATATAGAGACCTTCATGAATAATGATCGTCGGATTGAAAAAAAACACGGTTGAAGCGGTTAAAGACTCACAACTGCCACTGGAATCCGCTGCAAGCTCTTGCTCGGCCTCGCACGAACTCGTCAGGCCACAGGAGGTGCCTTAGAAACAGGGACAGGTCGCATATTCGAAAGGAGTCCAATGAGCAGTTTCAAGTCATGCCTCAACCAACAACCTATCCTGAGTTGGCCCTGGTGTGGCCTACAATTCATGCTCTAACCAAGTGTCACACGAGTATGTTTTAGAATTCTGGCATGCCACTTCCTCACACCTGGACAACAAGTCGCTGGGACGGCTTTCAAGGACCTGCCCAATTCGACATGCACAGGCTAAGAGTAAGAAATTAAAAACAAACACGGTGGAGGTGCACGTACCAATGCTAGTCACAACCCCGCCACACAAATTCATGTTTTCCTTTTGCATTCTCCTTGATTTTCAGCTGACTCTCCCCTATTTAAGCTATCAGTATTTTAAGCCCTTTTGGATCCCCCGTCAATTACCACAGCTTAGATCAGGTGTCACTGGCCAGGTGGCCGGGGGCGGCGGAGATGCGTCCTCCGCTGGGCCCTCGTCGTAGGTCGTCTCCTCCGTGGCTTCCGTCTCCGCCTTGGTGGGGTGGCGGTCATCCTCTGCCAGCAACGCGTAGATCTCGGCCTCGGTGGGCTGTGTGGAGTTCAACACGAGGTGTTGAAGAATGTGGAAGATAATTACATGATAACTTACAATATATTGATCTTATATATAAAGGAATGAATACTATGGGTTGCTGAATGCTACTGATTGGTCAGCCTGTGACTCATTTAGGCCCATGCTTATCCTTTCGAAACGCGCAAGACTAAGACCTCCAACTATCATGTTGGAGGCTCAGGGTTCTATTTCAGTGGACGCTATGAGACCAAGCAGCAAGCACTTCATCTGGAGGATGCTCCTTGTTCTTGATTGCCAAGGAAATTGCTTCCTTGAAGACCCTCACCACATTTGTCCCATCAGCGCATGACACCTCAAGCAACAAAGTTGCAGCTAGCTAGGCTAGCAGGAAACTTTCGAAGGCGCTAACTCTTTCTCATGCTCTGTTGAATCGTACAAGAACCACCTCCAACATGCAAAGCCCCTCATACTTCGATCTGCCAAGAAGCAAAAAAGAATGGTAGCTGATGAGTGAGTGGGAAGTTGAATTTCCTGGGTGTGACCACGGGTGAAGTTGCGCACTCGCTTCTCTGCTTCCTCTAGGCCCAGTCAGACTTGCAAGAGCTACTTCAGAAGTCAAACAGTATGATGCGAATCATCGACATTCACATCTAAGCATGTGCACTGGTGGTACTCTAGGTATGTCTGTGTCTGATCCTTGGGATCAAATCTCTACCAAAGAAAATGGCAAGAATGTTCCGCATCCACCGGTGACGCCGAACTTGACGCCGTCGCTGTTTGAGCCGTTTGAGGCCGTGGGCTGTTGGACCTCGACACCGTACAGGCTGAATACTGCCGAGCCTCTTCTTAGCCATTGATGGCTCTACATCAATCTTGTTTGCCACGCAAACAACTGGTATATCAGGACCTCGTTCAAAAATCCCGACGGTACAGGCTCAAATCTGCAAAATGGGCACTGTTGGGACAGGGCATAAGAGCCACAGCTAGGCTGCTGACAATAGTGCCGGATTTCTTTGTACCACCTAAGCAAATCCAGTGCTGAGCAATGTGTGGGGTCTTGCATAGTTAAACTAACCCCTATAATAATACATATTATATATATCATATTATGTGTCGTATGCATTTCAATCAGCATTCCACAACCTAAATGAAACATACAAAGTGTATTCTGCATGTCCATAATTATCTCATCTGACACTTCTTTTTCATGCAATCCGTAGGGACCTGGGGTCCGAACGTCTCCAGATTTTTGTATGTGATTTTCCGCGTCACGTCGAAGGCCAGGATACACGCATTGGCCTCACTAGTGGGATGTGTGCCGCAACCCGTGTGGCTGGTGCACACCGCCTTCCCGCGCTGATGGGTGTGTAATATACTACAGTATACTAATTTACTATGACTATGACTATGTTAAACCCTGTTGAAGGTCTAACAATCCTCTATGTTTACGTTGACTATGTTGAAGGTTTACGTTACAATCCTCTAGTAGGGCCCAGGACTCGCTCATTTCTTCAAGCAATCTTGAACATGCTTGAAAATTGCATCCCATAATTATCACTGGTTATTATTGGCCCTCGCCTGAAAATAGTACGAAGCATGTAGCTTCAAAAACTGCTCCTGTCCGGCCGTGTCCCAGAAGTCTATGGTCCATCTTCTGCCATCCTTGCACCCGCAGGACTGCATCCAGAATTCACATGAAAATTGGGCGCTGATGGTTTGCTTTCTCCAACTGTGGATGAATTCCATGGTTCCAAGGCAAAATGTGTTGGAACTCATGGTCCTCGGCCGTGTGGTGATATCGGAAGAGTGTCAGGGCAAAGGTGGAGAGCGTCCGTGGATTGTACTCTTCCTGGGTGAAGCGCCCATCGGAAAATGCATCGACGCTCGCGTCGGATGGACATCTAAACCAACAACGACAACCACCACCACAACCATAAGGTATGGAAACATCGATGACACATTCTGTTCAGTTGTATAAGTGCAAGCAACAACATACAAGAACACCGTGAAATGAGGCTGCAACCACGACGACGAATTGAGGACCCAACCCCCCCACACCCAGCAGCACCTCACGCCGAGCGACAAGAAGAAAGCGTTCAACCATCTTAGACTTTCCAACTGCGGAGTCACCACAAAGGATAATCTTCAAGTCCTGAGCGGATTCTCGGCGGACCACTCAGAGTTTTCTTCAAACGAAAGAACGTGGCTATACACTGCTGGCAACTCGGCCGTCATTCACCGCCCAGCTAAGCAGCGTTGGTCCGCGAATGGCTTCGACTCCTAAGATTGTGTAGGTGGACCTGACATATGAGTAGCCGCGTAGCATCTGGTCTGTATCCAGAGCAAGCCATGTGGAACATGCTGACCAACGTTCGGGACTTCAAGACATGATCGCCTCTTGAAACTATGTTGCATCATGAATGACGTCGAACAAGGGGCTAGCGGCTAGCATGAAAAAAAGTGACGATATGCCTGCTTGGCAGGCCCGGTGTTCTTGTACCCGGCGGTTGTCGCTTGAACTGTGAAACTATACCGCTTGCTAAGCATGCTAAGCTTTATTACTGTGGAGGACCTGTTTGCGTCATCACTTTCTTGCTCTCCTATCTTCCCAGCGGGCAATGTATTTGTTCATTGGTTCTTAATTGAGCTTTTTGTAAAGCCCGCCCCTACTTATATATATATATAGTTACCGTGTATATGTATATATATATACATATATACGTAGGCCCTTACTTGCATAATTGAGTAAGGGCTAAGTTAGCTTCTAGGTAGGACGCACGATAGCTCACGCTCGCACTAATGATTTGGTTTCTAGATTTTTAGTAAGCGACAACACAAGCATCAAGAACAAATTCAAAAATAATCAAAAATAGATTTAAAACATAGCAACTCTTTGATGACAACGAGAGGAACACCCTAGAATACCACCTTCCAGAATCCCAGAATAGCTTCTGCTGGCGTTTGATCATCTTCGGCCAAGGGCCCTGGAACTTCTTCCGCCATGGCACCAGAACAAAGATGTGAATTGTCAAGAAACCTGGAGGAGTGTCAACAGTTGATGCTGCTGATGCTAAGAATTGTTTAGAGCTGTGCGGCTTGTTGAGCCGAGCTTAGCTTTCATGGACATCCTTTCTTGGCCAGCTTTTTGGGCCAAGACTTGCGTGAAGCCGTGCCAAACACCGCGCCGACCTTGCAAGGTGTTCTTGACACCACTTCATCTTAAGACCCATCGGGCAAACCTAATGAGCTTCCGACCTATCCCTGGCGGATCTGGGAAGCCCACTGCACAAAATGGTCTCTGTCTTGAACATGTAAAATCAACCCATTGAGGCATTCTTACAGGATCTTGCAGGGTGTTTCGCCTACTTGCCAAACCGCGCTTCTGTCGTGCCCACGGGCTCAGCATGGCCCAACCGGCCAACCGATCAATGTGAGACCGTCTTGGGCCTCGTCTTGGCTTGCTCTCTTCAGACCAAGACGCCCCAGATCCAAACCTGGAAGAGTGCACAACTGCCATGCCAACATCCATACAAGAACACTGTTGAAGTTCTTAGCAAACATCTGGCTCACAATCCCAAAACAGGTGGTACGAGCACCACAAAGAAATTAGAACAAATTATTGATATATTTATACACCGAAATGATCCAAAAAATTAGCATTTTTGATCGTCAGCTTGGAAAGTCCACTTCTCGGAACTGCACAGGGCTTCTGCATGGGGCCCCATGACTTCTGGGTTGATTTGACCCAACAAGTCGCAACCGCAAGCGGAGCCTTCGAAGCTCCAGCGAAGGCCGCACGCGAGCGAACGCCGCACCTCATCTCTTGGCTCGGCCAGCGCGACCTCGAAGAACCGACCCGCGCGATCGGGCAATAAAGTGATATGGGAGAACTGCCCCACATGACCGCTTAGATTGAGGCCATCTTGGCCCCCCAAGCGAAACTGATAAGATGGCCCAATAGCATCCCCTCCACAACCCAAAACATGTGGCGAACGGTTGTGTCACTAGGGGCAAGGCAACTTCCCAAGCGAAAGACCCGTTAAGGGCCCAACCCTGCTTCCGACTCGGATGCTGAGACAATCTCACCCTCCTCACCTTGGTGACGGTCGGGGTGGTCGAGGGGCTCAGGGTATGACAGCCAAGACATGACTGATCATGACTGTCACGAAGGATGACAAAAACAAAATAACAAACATCCGGTACGAACCAAAATGGCCACACCAGTATTGTCAAAATCTCTGGTGCACCACTGGCCATCAAAAATGAAGACATGCCTGAAATATGCTGGAATTTCGACGTGCCAACCCCCAACTCCACACGGTTTTTGCTCTTGGCACGCTTATGGAACTTCTTCGCACGACTGGCCATACCTGGATTGGAACTCCTGCTTCGCAAACTGCAGGAGCTCGTGATCCAAACTGTTCACCTTGGCGTCTTGAGAACGACGGCGTGGGCTTTGTCATACCAACATCTAGGGATGATTCAGATGGATTATGTGGGTAGTATGACCAAGTGGGGCAATCACGGTGACTGGATGCGCTGGTCAAGTTACTGCCAAGATCTCCTTCTGAACATCTTTGCTCAGGAACTCTCGCCAGAAATTGCGGCTAGGCCCTGTGAAGCTCAAGCGCCTGCTGGCCCGAATTTGCCGGGCCTTCTCCATGGTGTGCTTCCAAACATGAAGGTCCTTGTGGGTAGCACAAACAGATTCGACCGGATCTATTCAATGGCAACTTCTACGACATGGGCCATGCGCACCTAAGCAGGAGTCTACAGTATAGTAATGCTTTCTATTCTATCTCCGCCACCCAGGTTCTTGGAGGTGCTTTAAGAATATGTGGGACAAAGATGGACAAAGGCCAGCACCACGCCTGCTTCTCATGCGCTAGTTCGAGGGCTGTCTTGAGATCCCAGCCCAGCAAGGGAGCCATCACTTCGATCGAAGACTTGAAGCAGTCGACAATGCCGAAGGCGTCTAAAGATCTCAAGTGCTCTTTGGCCAACTCCAACAAACCCGTGAAGTTCTTGTCCCAATCGTAGGCCAAGGCTGGATATCCAGACTTCTCCGGCTCGCAAATACACGCATTGCCGCCACAGCGGGTCTTGTTGCATTCCACACGCTGGAAGCCTAATAGGTAAAGAGTCTGTCGATTTCGAGACGGGTTCCTGGGATGATGGAGATACTTCTGGAAAGATTCGCTGAGGTCCTCGATATTCAGAATGCGATCAATCTCGGAAAGATCATTGGCATGGACATCCCACTGGTCGAACGACAAGAACTGCCGATGCTTCAGCCGAAGCATAAAATACTCCGACAATGTCCTCTCCTGGCAACAACAGCAAGGGGTGCTCAAAATGTAGGGCTCTTGTCTTCAATGCTTTTGACCAGGCTTACGGTGATACAGTGTGATGGGCGAAAAGGAGGCTTCAAATGTTTCATATAATGTCCGCCAAGTCGCAATGGGTTCCCGAAGGATCGTCACGATGCATCCGCGGCCTTTCCCACTTTGGGTGAATTGCCTTGCATAGTTGTACTCTAGATGATACTGGTACAGCTCCACAGCACAACGCTGCTTTCCAAAGTTGCAGCGATCCCAACCTAGTTTACACGTTTGACGGTGTCGCCCACACATCTGTTGCATAATCTGTTGACCAAATGTAGTCGACGCAGTTTTTTTGAATCCTCAGAAATGCTATCGTTGAGCAGTTCTGTGCAGGGGTGGTCTGGCCCATTTTGGCCTGCCCCACCGCACTGGTCTGCACAGCCGTGGTGGTCTGCACAGCGGTGGTTTGCCCCGCAGTGGTTGCCAAGGTGCTTCTCGCTTCAGTTGAGGTCTCCATTCCTTTGGGCAGCGGCTCGGGTGCCGCCCGAGTGCCCGAAAGCCATTGCATTTTGAACTGTAGTTTCTGAAAGTCGCTTTCCGACAAAGAAGAGTGCCCAATAGAAGCCAACAATGAGAAGCTGCACAGGAAACAGCAACTGCAGCAGAACTTGTAGTTGTCAAAGCCATGAGCCTCTGCTCGTGCCGCCCTTGCCCGCCTTACCATACCTACATGTTGCCAAGCCGGCGGAGAAATGGCTGGGCACTAGACGTGTTCTGCCAGTAATTGTAATTGTGTCCAGCACATCTCTAAGGTTAAGGCTACCTTTTGATGTCAGGTGAAGTCACCCCCTCAACCTTCCAGCCCATGCAATGCCTACAACCATACCCTCCCTGAGCTTCATCGTGCTCTTAGAAGCTTCTGCAACCAATCCTTTGTATTCTCATGCACTCTCAAGGTTTTCAGAAAACAGCTGCAGGCATCACTGTTTACCTTTGAGTAACAAGACCCCCCCAACAGCGAGATGGAAAACCATCCTGACATTAGTCCTCTAATGTCCGCTGTGGCTTCAAAGGTAACGTTTTTTTGCACGATGGAAACATGCATTGACTGGTCTTAGCACGGCTGCCCCATCTACCCACAGCTGTCGGGCGGATGCAAACAAGGAATACAATAAATGCCCTTGCCCAAGAGAAGAATGGGGCACGTATGTTTCTCCCAAAAGTTGTTCGAAGTGCGCAGGAACAGCTGACCAGCATATCTCACAGTCACAAGTGCTTGCAGCCGCCATTGCAGCCTTCCTTCAGAATCTGCACCGATCTGAGGCTGCATGAGGCTCCCCGCGCTCTCTCTTCCTTCTCCCCTTGGGAATGTCCTCCCGCAGCCGCTGCAACACCTGCTCACCACACCGTTCCAAAAGCGGAGCATCTTGGACTTCCACTGCTATTTGGAGTTTTGCCCTCCTGCGCCCCTGGCCCTCTAGGTGCAGGTGAAAGAACGCGTTGTTGGTGGACTATGGTGGACTCCTATGTTTTCCAGCCAGAAATCATGTTAACCTGGTGCCCCAGCATCTCAAACGCAATTCTTGGCACGACCAGCCACCCACATCAACAGCCTCTCGAGTCTTCTGCTCGGTATCCTGGCAGGGGAAGGTTCGCGCTAAAATCGACAGCTGCTATCCAGGAGCCCGGCCAGCTGGCACGCAAGCTTGCTCCCATGGAACATCCTTGCAACAAATGTCAGATGGCCTGCTGATTCTTCGGAAGGGCAAGAAATAGGAAGCTGATTGATGATTATATAATTGATCTGTTGTCCACTGTCATTCTTTTGGCAGGATGCTGCAACAAGGTGCAGATAGTACAACTACTGAGCGAAGGCAATCTCAGGCATCCACGGAGCTGATGAAGAGGAGCTGTTGGTCAGTAGGTCTTGAGTGTCCAGGAAAGACATCAATGGCCTCAGTGGGCGAAGGCGAAGAATCCTGTGTCTACAAACGAGAAAGACCAGGAGGGAAGATTCATCAATGACCTGGCAAGTGCATGTTAAAATTGATCAATCATGCTCTACTGTATACAGTGTTTTTGTGGCCCTCATCGGCGGAAGCAAAACTTTCGGAGCCACAGTCCAACACTTAGACAATCACTAGCTTTCGAACCAATTTCTTTGATGAAGGCCCATCTGAACTGCCCATCTGAGCTCCCAACGGAGCCCGATCATCCCGGTTGGGCACCTCTGGCTTGGTTCCGCTGACCGGTGGGACGGGCGGTCTGTGGGGCAGCTCTCCTTGCGGCAGCAAAAGGGAGACGATGGAACCCCCTAACCGACCTTGGACCGGACCTGGGAGATAGATAAATCCTGCAAATTGCTTCTACATTCTACACGCATAGGATGAGACCCCGGGAATCAACTATAGGTAGTGCATGAAGTCTTTCGTTGCGACTGTTGGGCGGACAGGCTGCGCTTCAGTTGGTCCTGCAACAGGCAGCCTAGCAGAAGGATGGGACACTTCAGTGGACTGCAATCCTTGGAGAGTACATAGCTAGGCAGCTGGACCCATGTGTGGGGTCCTAGGCTGAGCAATCTGTAACATAATGCATTATAAAAAAAATAATGCCCCCACCACGGTGACAGCATGGAAAGTCAGCAAAGTAACATCATGCAACGTCCAATGAGGCGAAAATAAAGCGAATGCATACAAAAGCCCTGAAGTGGCTCTGAACTCGTGGCATGCCTTGACGCAAAGGACTTTAATGGCGCTGGTCCTACCAAGGTCACACCGGCCAGCAATGAGCTTCGACAAAAGACTGTGCGTGGGCCTTGGAACCCTGAGCCACTACTTCACAACTACAAAAAAAACATCAGCAACCTGAATTCACGTGGGTTGAGTAGTCTTCCAGCGTCTACTGTATCTTCTTTGTGTTACGTTGTTGATCTGCCCGCGGTTTTGCAAGCCGACTGCGGCTGTGCACCTTCCAAATGCCCACTCTCAGGTGTCGAAGGAGTCAATTCTCCAACATTTCTCGTCTGCGAGCTGGGAGACAAGAATGACCTCAGGCGTGGTTCAAAGCTGCAGCCTTGAAGCCATCAAACCTACGACAGCCTGTTCATATGGCAAAGTCATCTTTGAAGACACTCAAGCAAATGTACAAACACTCAGCTTATCTCAGCTTCCCTCATCACAACATCACAATTCATACACATATATGCCCCAAGCCTCCCATCTAGTCGATCCGCAGGCGATTGCACGGCTGTCCGCGGAGGGCTCCAAGGCTCCTTGCAACTTTTGGTCAGGAAAAAGCGCAAGTTTGCCCTTGCAGCGAACCAACAACCTGTTTGACGATCTTCCAATCTCCTCTCCTGCGGAGCCATGGGGCTCAGCCTCCTTGAGAAACGGCCCGGATGAAGCTGCAGTTCTTGATTGAAGCTTGAAGCTTTACGTCGCTATCACGCTTCGAGGCACTTCCACAACTGTAATCCTCTCAATTTGCGGTCTAGCTGTGCTTAGGTAAGGGTAAGCCTATCCATGCCCATGAATTGTCTTCGTCACCAGAGGCCGAGCACTCCCAGCTCAGGCCGAGTGTATCTGAGGTTCAGACCGTGGGCTTGCCGAGTGACCGGTTCGGCCCTTCTTCAGCAAGCATTCCAAGTACTGGATCTGTTCCTGAGTGCAAGCCATGTAAGGCCTGCATGCAAGCCAGCAGCGAGCACAAATGAAAGCAGCATCAAGCAGGTTTCCTTTGACCTTGCGGACCACTATTAGGTTCACAGCTTCTGAGGTCTTGGTTACCAACGGACTGCATCGCAAAGATGCAGCAAGCACGCCTCCATCTCCCACCCGCTCTCTTTCGACTCACACCTGAGGCACAAGCCGCCTGGTCCCGGAGCCGCTTCACGGCCGTCTTCAGCACCAAGAGATCTGCCTCCTGGACAGATGAGAACCCGGGCTGGTCAGGATAACGCTGGCTGGATGCTTACGACCTTTGTTCAGGTTTGGGCTCAGACGGTCTGAGATCTTATGCGTGAATCCTTTCAATGAGCCTGCTGAAGAAAATTGCATATATATAATATATATATATGTATCTATATATATATAGACTAGTATATAGACTTATACTATATATATATTATTCCCAGGCAAGGAGGCTTAGTGCCTCACCCCTTGGCCACCCGCAATGCCAGGAGTATGGTCACAAATGGGAGACCATGCACCACTGACAAAGAAAGTGGACGCACTGGTTGGTTCTTCCCAGCTGGCTGCGTGACGGATTAGGTCCGCTTGACAGACTTCGAAAGGCGCAACTCCTGAAAGCTGTTGCTCAAAGGCAGAAATGGTTGACCTGCAGCAGCCCATGCCCTCCCACTGCAACAGCCCCCCGGACATACATCAAGATCATCGAAGTCGAACATGCGTTCTCTACTTGACCATGTTCTCTGAGTCTTCAGACTCCTTTTTTTCCGCCCTTGCTTCAAAATATGGAATATGGCCAATGGTCAATCATTTGTTTCATCATAGTTTTTTCCGTTTATTTCGCGCCCTGAGCCGCTGACTGCATTCCTGACATGGCACTAAATCACCGGCCCACGCCGCACCTTTGGGTACCTCAGGCCGACACGAAGCAAGCCACAAAGGTGGCGTATGTGAACCATATGGTGCACAACACCAATTCAACCTCAGTAGCAATGGTCTCCAACCTAGAAGCGATGGCCTCCAACCTAGCAGCGATGGCCTCCACCCTAGTAGGGAAGGCCTGCAACCTAGTAGCGATGCTAGTAGGGATGGCCTCCAACCTAGAAGCGATGGCCTCCACCCTAGTAGGATGGCCTCCAAACTAGAAGCGATGGCCTCCACCCTAGTAGGGATGGCCTCGCCTCCGATCTAGTAGCCATGGCCGGATGCCTCCACCCTAGTAGCGATGGCCTCCACCCTAGCAGGGATGGCCTCAAACCTAGTAGCGATGGCCTGCTAATTAGATGTCAGTCAGAGATCAGCCTCCTATCAATCCCTCCCTTCGCGCGAGCTTCCTCAGAGGGTTCCTGCACATTTCTGCCCTCCAACCTGCGCCCAGCGACGTTGAGGGTGCCGCAGGAGGGACACGCCACAGGGATCCGCTTCAGGGCCAGTCGCTGCCGGGCCATTCGCTCCAAGGCGGCGTTGGCTTGGCTTTGCAGCTGCGAGGTGTCCTCAGCGAGATGTCTTGGACGCGAGGTGTCTTGGACCAAGTGCCCAGGGACAACCGATGAACTCTACCTCATTGTCAAGACCTGGGCGACCTGAAGCCTGTGTTTAAAGTGTATGTGGATGTGCACGTACACACGATGTGTGCGCAAACAAATCAAAGGATGAGATGACAAAACATGAAGACAGGAGGACATGAAAGAAAACAGGAAAACAAATGCGTGCGAAGGGGAAAGGATGAAATGGAAAACCAAAGGGAGGGGACGAAAACCAATGAACCCCAACCCCATTAGAAAACCTAGGCAAACCTCGTTGAAAATGTACGTGCTGTGTGTGCACCTGAGGTGGCGACGGGTCCCAATGGACTCTAAAAATGCTTTGACCGCTCTGGTCACCTTGTGCCATGCCAAAATGGCAGGCGACATGAGACTGCTGTGGTCACCTAAAGGCTGCCAAAATGGCGGCCAGCTTGATGTTCAACAATTCAGCCATTCCTGGGCATAAGCCTCCTACGCTCGCTGCGAGCTGCTCTGTATCCGGGCAGGGCGTACATTCGACAAACCCCCGCGCAGCGGGTCCACAGGGGCCACTCTTTGGGTTCACCC